TGACCAAATTTTTGTCATTCTGTGACCAAAATTTTGTCAATCTGTGACCAATTACTCAAATGTGACCTAAAATTTTAATAATCTGTGACCTCGAAATAATATGTGACCAACTAATTTAAAAATCTGTGACCTCGAAATAATTTGTGACCTACAAATTTTTTGATATGTGACCTCGAAATAATTTGCGATCAAAAAATTTGACGATATGTGACCAGTAAATAAATCTGTAACTTAAAATTATGAATATGTGACCATTAATCACAAAATGTGACTTTATTATCTTTATTTAATAAATATTTATAATTAATTAAATAAATACCTGATTTTTGAATTTTTAAACTATTTACCTTATTTTTGAATTGAGGTAAAGAAAACACCTTAAATATGATTTTTTCCCCTAAATAATAATATGATATAGAAGGTAAAAATACGAATCACCGTTATTTGGTTTGATCCTTGTGAACCTAGATTTCTAGGTCGATAAGGGCTCTTTGTGTTTATTTTTAAAAGTTATTTAACAAAGAAATTAAAAAAAAAAAAAGTCGAACTCAATAGCCTACTAGGTCTCATTTTTCAAACAGATTGAATCGTTCTGACACGACAAAGATATAATATACTTTACGAGTTAATTGAATTATTGATTGCTGGACTTTAATATATGTTAGTACTTACTCTCTGAAATTTAAGAAGTTATTCGTTGCGCATTAAATTTTGCTATTAATGACTACTTGTTAATTGAAATTATAAAGATTACTCATTGCTTACTTTAATTTAAACAAAATTACTCATTCATTACCTATATATTTTACTCTTCTAGTTCACACGGATAAGGAAAAAACGATGACAACAATGTAATTTCTTGATTGCTTGTTTTCTTTATATTTTGTGACATCGTGTTTGACTTTAACATAAAATTATGTAAATGTTAATTTTAACATGTAAGTGAAAATTTACTTATTTTAATATTACTATAATTTGTTTGGAGTAATTTTGTCAAACTTATAAGCCAGTTAAATATCATTTTTATACACATATTCGATAAGATCTACACACATAGATACGATCGATGACTTAAAATCTAGGGCAATGCTAAGGGTACATAATATATGAACATAATGGTGTACATAACTCTCACATGAGATGAGACCCACCCGTGAGATCCAGACAGGTGGATCACATCTCATGTGAGAGTTATGTACAGCTTTATGTACATAATTATGTACAAGAAAAATAATCCTAAAATCTAAAAAGAGCATTACTAAACGTGTACTTAATATTAAAATAATTAATTTACTTATTTTTTAATTAAATTTTTAAACAAATAAAACAAATTTATTTGTTAAAAGAAGACGTTTTCCTTCTTCAGAAACACGTAATAAAACAAGAACAATATCTTTGTCGAGACAACGTCAAACAGTAGAAATTACTCCCGCCGTTATCGGGTTTTGTCACCCTCCAAACCCACAATCTCAGATTACAAGTTTCCCAAACTCGAAATAAAAGATTTGGGTTCCTCTATATTTATTCAATTGGAATTCATTCATGTTCATATGAATTCCTGAAAATAAATCATGAAATTTAAAGGGAATCGAGTGGGCATGAAGCCCAAGACAAGATTACCAATTGTGTTCTTCTTATGCTTCTGTTTCTTTCTCTTTCTTCTGTTTGGATGCATAATCTTCTCTCAGGTGGAGTTTTCTCTTTCAAATTTAAAGCCGATAAACATAAAATGCATGTGAGTTATGTTTATGGTTCATTTATATTCATGGATTTTATTTACAGGATTTGAATAGGAATGGATCTCGACATAAATTTCTTCAGAAGTTTCCAGAAGAAGAGGGAGATTCCTTGGGGCATGGCGAAACTGGAGACTCTTCAGTCAGCTCTATTCCATTTCAGGTTCTTTCCAACTGGTCTCGGGACAAATTTATTTATTTAAATTATGTCTTTAACGTGCCAAACAAATTCACTTTTTTCTTTTTTTATTATTTAAGTCCTTGTAACTTGTAAGTGTGTAATTTGGAGAAATAGCGACATAAGTTACTGTAGTGTTTTTGTTGAACCACCTCGTATGACAAAGTTTAAGCTCTCGGATAGGGACAAGCTTGTTTATTTGTTTGAATAAAACCATTTGTACAGAAATGGTGTTCTGTTCCAGAATTCCTACAGAAATCTCACATGGGAGGTGGGCTCCGCATGAATAAAATATTGACAAAAAAAATTGAACCCCACCTATGTGTCACGTATTCTGTTTATTTTCTGTGTGTACAGTGTTCTGTACACACACTGTACACACAGCAAAGTTGTTTATTTAATTTATATCTGCATTCTCTTTTTTTGAATCTTGAGAGTTGCAAACAATTAGAAAAATTTGTTTACAATCACATAATCAGTTGAATGTTTTGACAGAATACAATGTTTAATATAGAAAAAGATTAGTGTAGAACAAGAAGTTTAGTTTGATTTGATTCTGGTAGGATTTTTTCTGAATTGCATTATCGGTAATCTAGATATAAGTGATACTACGAGATCAAGAGTACACATATCTATATTTTTGTTGAACAACCTCCTCTAAACTTAAGTTTTTTATTGGGGAATTATATCTTTTAACATGTCTCCCCACGTGCAAGCCACATACATTTTTCCTTGAGCAAAGGACCTTTGTATGCTCTAATACGATGTTGAACCACCTTATCTTAAAGATAACTTTTAGACATTTTTTTATTGATGCAGGTCTTGAGTTGGAGACCACGTACTTTGTATTTTCATAATTTTGCGTCAGCCAAACAATGCCAAAGTATAATTGAGATGGCTAAGTCTAACCTTAAACCATCCGGCCTTGCTTTACGGAAGGGAGAAACTGCTGAGAGCACAAAGGGAATTAGAACAAGGTTTTTATACACTTCTCTCAATCACAACAGATTATGGTCATGTGGTATTGCTAATTTAAAAGAAACAATTGAACTGCACTAATGGCCATGGGCTATGCAACACTCACTAACTAAATCATTTCTGTTTCCTTTCCACTCTGCATGTTAAAGAAGAAATCTTTTTGGCACGATTTCTTATGATATCTATATTTATTTTTTCATCCCCGGGTTTCAATCTCTCTCTACCTGCTATGCTTTGGGGAAGGTTACTTTGCATTCTGCAATTCTGACATAATGCACTGTGCATGAATGTAGAAACCATGATATCAAATGAGTCCTACATCAAGTGATGGGTGATTGTATTGTCACTTTATCAGGATTGAGAAACAAAAGAATGGGCTATGCTTCTAAAACAGGGCGCCCTGTTCGAGTAGATTTATTCCAAAGAGAGATGCTACATCAATAGGGGGGGGCCTGCACCCAATAAAAAAAGCGCCCCCCCCCCCCCCCCCCATTTCGAGTCAGTTATTTTCTAATGATTCTGCATGTGTTTTCTCTAAAGAAATTGTGTCAGATATTTAAGCAAGGGAACACTGGATGGCCTTTCTCGTAGTGCAGCATCTTCATGAATACTGTTTCTGGTTAACTTTGTTGTTCCTCCTCTATTGCAAGTTTCGAATATCATAACAAACAATGGAAAACTCAGGTTGAAATATGAAACTATGATTTTCGAATATTAAAAGTATGAATATGCACATGTCTGGCCATGCATGAGGTGAAGTTAGAGTGTTCAAGTAGCAAAGTGAAAACATGAACACAAAACTCGGGTTGAAATAGGTTCTTCAGACAACTAAAGAAAATTAACAATTAAACTTACATAAAAGCCTAAGAGAAAAGCAAGAAGAAGGTTAACGGATCAATATAGTTCTAATATGTGCTTCAACATCAATTTTATAATCGCTTATCATACAAATAATATCAACTAGATTTTCATTCTAGTGATGACCACAACCAAATACAACAAGACATTTTGATTAGAGTAATGCTATTTGCAGTCGCTCACCACGACTTCGATCTACGTGGCATATATATGGTAGTTTTTTTATTAACTCATGCGTCAAACAATCACTTTATATGTGTATGCCACGTAAACGACTACCGTAGGGAGCGACTGCGAATAGCATTATTTTTTTGATTAGTTTGGGTGGAACAAACAATTTGTACATTAAGTTGAACAAACTTTTATTTGCCTCAAACCTAGTCATTAATTTTCCTGAAGAAAAACTCCTACTCTGATACCATCACCATATACATAGCTTTAAACATTCTTCTAGAGGTAACAATCTAAATGAGAGATGTACCAAGGTTTTACAGCCCCTCACAATAGGGGGGGACCCCCCAATTGTGAGGGGGCTGTACACCAAGTTGTAAAACTTGGTGTACAAATAGCCAAATTCTATTCCAAAAGAATTGGGAGGACTTAATCTGCACCCTGTCAATGGATGTACCTTCTACAGTCCAAATTACTCAGTTATCCTGAACACATATTCAATTTAAACCTACTCCTATAATAGCCCATTGTTCAATGCCTTTATTTTACTCATCCCTTATACAAAGAAAAGAAAATGCAAAACCAATATAGAAGAACTCAGCCTTTTTATTTTGGGATGATTGAGGTATCGAACCATTCATCAAATAGTGTTTTTTTTTTGGGTGTGAAGGTATGAGAAAATTAGCTTTGTTTGGGAGGAGTTATGGTCTATCGTTGGCCTCTGTGGTAGAATATCATAAGACGTTTAGGAAACAAAGGTTTATACCGTGGCACAAGCAAGTAGTTCAAGTGCGTGTTGGGTTTTGTTGATACTCAATAAATTCCGGGTAATGATGTTAAACAGTTTAGAATATATTTCATAGACCTCGACCGATGAGTAAAATATTTATCAATACAATCAATTTTTATGCTCAACCCGAAAGCAATGTGGGATACTAGTAGCAACTTAATTTGTTAATGTTGCCTTGGCCAATTCACTTATAGGGTGGCTTTCTTGTGTCTTGGTCCAATTGATGATATGACCTACACTATATATATCCACTTTGTACCACTGCCAACGTGTGGATGTTTTGTGTTTTGAGAAAATAACCGTGGCTGCTTCCTGTCTTCCTCTTTGTGCACTTTGCCTCTGTTGTTTTTCTCTTTGCCCTTGTGGCTTGCAAGTCACCATCATAACCTTGTCTCTTTGATATTGATTGGTAAGTTTAAACTAAGCCTGGAACCCACAAATTGAAAATCAATTTTGCTACAGCGCGCTTATCTCCAACTCATGAACATAGCCGATAGAAAGCTCTATGATAGAACCCTGCCCAATTTTTCTAATCCCGTGATTTGATTTATGATTTATCATCCATTTAGCTGCATTTAGGATGGTACAGCCTTACAGAGGTGAGGTTTAAACGAGGAAAGACTTACTATCTGCCACTGATACGGTTTTCTTCTCTGCTGGTTCAGAAATTCTATGATAACCAAATATCCCCATCTTTGGCATTAACGAAAAAATTGAAGTAAAAGATTGGACCTTATTTTGATTTGTAGTAGTGCTTATCTGTATTCTTTGTCATATTTAAGAGATCATTATTGTATTTTTCTTTGCATGACAAAGCCATGTTCACTATTCATATTGAACTGGTGATTGTTGTTGGCTATGGCTTATTTTTTATCTTCAATTCTAACAGTTCAGGTACATTTATCAGTGCATCAGATGACAGTACAGGAGTCTTGGATTTTGTTGAAAGGAAAATTGCTCGAGCTACAATGATTCCAAGGAGCCATGGGGAGGTAATTTTTTTTTTTCAAATTTTTTTGTACTCTAAGCTCGTTTTGTTATTTTTATTAATAATCTCATTAGCACATTGAGCCATCAACATCACTAGATGTTTATGAAGATTATTTTTTCCAAGATAAATGGAGAGAAATGCAGTTCGAGCTCTAAGTGGTCATATTACGGTAGGCGAAATTTGAATATCAATTAGAATTGCACAGCTAGAACTTAATTTCAACATGCTTTTTACCTCCCAGAGAAGTTAAAAACAACTGAGAAAGCGATCGGCTAAGTGTGAAATGGAAAAGAAATCCCAGAAAATGGTAATAGAAAAAGACTATATGATCCTCGAAGTCTATCTTCGGTTCTGAAGTAAGTAAAACTTCCGCAGAAGAAAAAGTATACGCAGCACCCTTAAGAGTAATTTTCATGCTTTCAATTCATTAGTTGATTTAGTTAATGCATTATGGGTAGCACGTTTTGTCTGTTTAGAAAGATTTAACTTTTTATTACAGGTAATTTCTGAGATTGTCTTGTGTAATGCGGCATATCGCTGTGTTGCAGGCTTTCAATGTTCTGCGGTATGAGATTGGACAGAGATACGTTGCTCACTATGACGCATTCAACCCAGCAGAGTATGGTCCACAAAGCAGCCAAAGGGTATAGATTAACAAGACATCATTATTGGTTTACGATTATCTATTTACTTATTTTTGTTTTTGATATTATAATTCGTATGATATTATTAGACGGAACATGGAGAAGTGCCTAATCACATCAATTTTATTTCTTTTGATGATTCCGGAAAAGTACTTTTGGTTGGTGTCATATGCTTGTCTAGTGCACACATCTTTTTTCAGCATGTGCTAATCTATTCCTTCACGAGAACTCAGTACTATCGTAAATGACAACGGGAGAGAGCAGAGAAGAAGAAAATAAATTAGATGCACCCAATTTTGAGATTGGCAAAAGCTTTCTGCACAGGCTCCCTTCATATTTTTGGCGCACTAGACCTGATCATATTAATCTGTTCACTAAACCCAGGTTTCTTGCTCTTGCACATTGCTTCATTCCTGCTGTACTTGTCAGATGTGGAGGAAGGTGGAGAAACCATGTTTCCATACGAGGTAACATCATTTGATTTGTATCCATTGATGACCAGAAAGTAGAATGTTTGATAATAAGGACTGCCTTCTAATATCATGATCTTCAGAATGGTGCAAACATGGGTGTTGGATATGATTACAAACGCTGCATAGGATTGAAGGTAAGACCACGCCGAGGAGATGGACTTTTGTTCTATTCATTATTTCCAAATGGAACAATCGATAAGGTAATGGTATTTGTCGAACTCTATTTTGTCTGCCTTGGTGTTCTAGCATGTTTCTATTTAAGGGTAGAATTAGGCAAATTAGAATCTAGAGAGACCGCTTATGCAAAGTGAACTAACGTTCCTATGCTTTCGTGCTGGAATGAAAATCAATCAAGTGAAATATAATTGGGTAAAAACAAAAATTACAATAGATTAGAGAGAAACAACTATGGAGCTTGTATTTTCATGCCTTAGTTAATGACATTTTTTTCCCGGTAACTTTGTGTTTATGTTTCGTTTCTTGGTGCTCCTCCCATAGAAATTGACTTGAGAGTTGCTCAATTAATGAGGAATTTGAGGGGGATGGAGATGGAGGTAGGCATGCCTCACTCTTTCTTCAATAGCCCTAAAACTCTAAGGTTCGTTTACATTAGATTCCCTGATCTCAACGCCGAGCGTACCTTGACCCACCTAGACAAATGACCCATTAGGAAATGGAGCTTGACCATGAAGTACTACTTAAAGTAGTCCATAACATAATATTTTATACATTTTCACCTGTAGAAAAGGTGGATTGAATCTTCAGTGTGGGAATTTCCTCCAACTGGAATACCTTTTTCCAAGGGATTACATGCTGGTTTTGTCCGTGTTTAACAAAGTTTTTTGAGATTATAAATTGGTGGATCCTATGAAATGTGTGGTTAAAAAATGGGTGAAAATTGTAAGTCAATGAAACGTGTAATTGAAAATAAAATTTGACTGACTTAAAATCTGAAGAGAGAGAGCTTTTACCAAACAAGAGTTATATACATAAAGCCTATAAAAGGTGAAATGGACTAGAACCTAAGACATTTGGTTGACATGAGGCCATGTTATGCAAATGTTCAAGTTATTATAGAGTTGTCACATTGATATATTTGGATTTTCTTGTTTTGGATTATAATGAAAAGTCATATATTAAACAATGATCTTGCAGACATCACTTCATGGAAGCTGCCCTGTCATCAAAGGAGAGAAATGGGTCGCTACAAAATGGATTGACAATCAAGAGATAGAAAAGTAATATAGATACTACCAAAAAAAAAAAAAAATCAATTTTGTTCTCTTCCTCGGACGATATATATTGCATATTTTGCACGCAATAGTATCGATGGACAAAATTTTAGATTATTATTTTTTATATTAGCCCCCGTTTGATCTATATTATTATCTCATTAAAATGAAAAATATGACCGTTATCCATCATATCAACATTCAAATTCAAATTTTCTACCTCTTGTGTGGCCCCAATAATGACTATATTTTTCATTCTCATTCTATAATAATTTGGCTCAAACAGGGCATTAATGTATTTACGACGGGCAATTGATGGTTTCTATCATCAGGATTATAATAGGGATTGCTAACAATTTTTCTTTGGGAATTATCTCACATACATACAATTCCTTCATCAAACCAATAACTCACAATTTTCTTTCTATGAAAGAATTGCAAAGTGACCAAATTTAAATGTTTTAAATCTTAGAATAAATTTAGCAATGAAAACCAAACGAAATGGAAGAAGTTGATTTATATAATCCACCTTAAAAAAATGAAGAAGAAGAAGAAAGAAAGAAAAAAAAAATGGGAAAACCCTGTTTAATCCACATTCTTAAAAAAATGTATTCTTTCAATACTCATTTTTAACAACACAATTTTCAATAAAATAATATTATATACAAATTCAAAATTTTTCATTTTTTTAACCACATATTTTACATCACGTCGTTATTTAAAATGCATTCTTTCCTTAAAAATGTGCATCAAATTGGGGAAAAATCAATTTCTTACATAAAGAAAAATGAAAATACATAACAATGACGTGGCACTCGATTCAGACGGTTTCACGGGAATTTCAGTACACTTAAAACCACCAGATATATTCTCCAGCGGAGAGAATATCACCGTTTTAAATAGAAGAATCGCCGTGTAACGGATAGTTTTTCCTTTTTCAAAAACAATATCTTTTTTCCAACAATTTCAATTCAAAAAAATTCAAGAATCGCTCAAACTCATTGATGCTTTTTCGAGTCCCGAAGATATAAATTCGAGTTATATTTTCTGGGATTCTTTTATTTTGGGCTGCAATTTTGTTGGGTATTATTGTTTGTCTCTCACAAAGAAACCACCAAGAAATATTTTTGATCCATTAATTAATATTGGGAAATGGATCTTGATTGCATTGAAAAGCAACGCAAGGAGGCTTCTTTAGATATCAAGAACAGTCCCAAGGAGTCTGTGATATCTGCTTCTAAGCTTGGAAAGGTACTCTTCATTGTTTTTTTGTATTATGTTTTACTTTTTTTTTATTGTTCCAAGGATTTTTAATAATAGTTATTTGAATTTTTTGTTTTTTCTCAAGATAGGAACTGTGATATTGTAATAGGTTTTTTATTATAATTTATAGCAATGGATTTTCCGAAATGTTGTTAGTCTTGGTGAATTTGAATTAAGTCATTTAACAACGAAAACGTAGGTAGATTTCAATTTGAAACGCCTTCCCATTCAGATCAGAAAATGATTAACAATATGCAAGAAATTCAAATGCTAAAATGCGAAAAAGAAAACATTACAGTTCTACTGATATGTAGCAATATCATATTCATATTGAAGTGAAATTTGAAGGGATTGTTTTCTTAAACAGTTGAACCCACATGATACATCATTGGTTCAAAATTGTTGCTTATATTAGTATAATAAACTGGCAATTTTGTACATCAGACTGGATTTAAAAGTTCAAATATACACATTTATGAAGCTGCTGATACATAGATGTACATCGGTGTGATGATTTTTGCTTATGTTAGCAGAGATTCATCAATGAGTTAACTTTGACTTCTGAGTTCTTATACTTTGAAGTTATATTTGATTCCTTGTTAACTTAACATCAATTTGAATTGGTATATCCATAAATGAGTAGTTATTCAATTATATATTTGGACAGGCGGTACACATTCAAGTGGAGACTTTTCACTTGCTTTTAAGGATAAATTTTTAATACAGTATTCAACTGTTCGTAATTGTGATTGTGAAGATCAGCTAAAATATATTTGAACATGCAAAAATATATGTCTAAAATCAGATATTGGGCATATCTACTTAGGAAATGAACACATCGAGCGAATTTTGATGAAATTGTTTTCAAGAAATTTCATTACCTATGTTAACTTCCAATGTTTTAGTTAATTCTGCAGAAGCATAGCTTACAATGTGTTTTGCGTGGTTTCCATGTGCAGAAAGCCAGAAACTGAGATCAAGGGAAATTGCCACAATGTTTTTTATAATTCTCCAAATACATTTCTTTGCTCGATAACTATTAAAACGCTGAAAGTAGAAATTTAGGCATCGTTTAAGGTTATAGATTTATAAGAATTTAGATTTCACGAAGTATTTAAAGGGGATTGATTTTGTATGCTAACTTCTTCTCATTCTGTGTTGTCTGATATTATCCATATGGTACAGAAGAAGGCAACTAAAGATGTTTTGAACAAATGCACATCACAAATTAGAAAGCCTTCACGATGCAAAAGTTCACCCCTTAACTGGTTCCCGCGCAAAAAGGGGGACTCCTATTTGGCGAGGAAAATAAAATTGCTACAGGTATTACCATGTATGTTGATTTTTTATTGCAAGCAGTTAAAGTCTTCAGCCAAAGGTTTCACACTTTTGCTTAACACAGGAAGTAGATGGAATGAATTTGACTCTTGATGAGACTCTAGGTGATTCAAATCCACATTACTCGAGAGTTCTAAGAGAAAAAATTGCAATAAGAGAGGCTGCAGAGAAGGCTGTACAAGCTCAAAAGGCTGCAATGGTGGAAGCATCTTGGTGTCGCATACTTCGTGCCGCCAGGTAAGCAACATCCTTTCATGATGAACTTAAATTTTAAAAAATGAATCTCCCCTCTCTAACTACTTTAGCTTTTAGATGAGATGATTTAATATGGTACTAGAGCATGCAAAGGTCAAGAATTTGAGTCTCTCCGCTGCTTGTTAATAAAATTGAACACTGGTCTCACATTTGATGGAAAATGAATCTGGCTTGTATATGATGAGGTGTATTGAAGACAAAATTAGTCAAATAAATGTGTCCCTCTCTAACGGCTTAAGCTTTTAGATGAAGTGAGCCGAGTGGCTTAACATCTCAATAAAGATATATCTTCTTTTGTTTATTGAAATTTATTTTCCCTTTGACAGCATTGAAAGTAAAGAAGCAGATACTCAGTTGTCAAAAGCCGAAAAATGTGCAGCTGAGGCATTTGAAGCTGCGACAACGGTTGGGGTAATCATGAATGACATACCAGATTGTGCAAAGCGTTACGGGATAGAAACAACATCTTCTAAAGGAAGAGGATCTACCACGCATTCTGTTACAGCAACTTTTGAAACTGCATTCGAGGTGGATAAACAAGTAGCTGCCGCAGTTAAAGCAGCATTTGTTAAGCTAGCAAATTTCCCTTCGGTCAACAAAGATGAATTTACTGACTTGCTGACCAAAATCAGTCAGAATCCTGATGTAGATGAATATTGTCAAGAGTTTGCAGAGTTCACTTCAGAATTTAAATCCATACCTGGATCAGAGCTGGAAGGAATGTGCAAGGAGAAATGCGGTTCTGAACGGAGGAAGAACAAGAATAGACAAGTGGGTGACAAATTTAATAGAGCTAGTCTTGTCGAGATGATGCTGGAAAGGCTTAGATTGTTGGAAGAAAAGGAACTTGCTTCTCTTGCCACTATAGTGGCAACTTGTGGGCTAAATGCTGCTTTAGCTGAAGCAGAAAACACCAAACAAGGTACTTTACAGGATAATAGGAAGTCGTCTGTCGAGCAAAGCAAAATGTCCTCCAATGGAAGGACCACGAGGAACTCCAATGTATATGGGCAGACGAAGAGCACTGAAGATGAACTGCCGAGCCTAGACAAGTTCCTGGTGAAGCGCTTGACGAGACTCGAAAGAGAGGTATTGGAAGCCAAAAATGCCCGAAGAAATGAAGCAACCAAAGGAAGTAATCCAAAGCTAGATAAATCTGAAGATGAGAAGCTTTCTTCAGAAAATGAGAAAGACATTGACAAGGCAACTGTAAATAATGATGAACTAACCAAAATGAATGGCGAGAACTCGGAAAAGATGATTACAGTACCAATTAACTGTGGAAAACAAGACTTTTCAGAAGTTCCTAGTCTAGATAAGGTTTTGGTGAAACATTTGTCAAGACTTGAAAGGGTGGTCCAGGAAGCAAGGAGCAGAAAAAATAGTCATGGAAGAGGTTTAATAGACAAAGAAAACATGGACCTGAACAAAATTGGGGATAAAAATGTAGACCCAAATTTGTTGGTTGAAGAAACGTTATCAAAGGCAGGAGTATCATCATTTCAAGATGAAAAGGATGGAAGTAAAGAGGCAGAAAATAACCTTGATAAGATTGTTGTCGAACCAGATCATTTGTTGCAAAGGACAAAAAAGGAAAGACCATCATTGAGAAGTAACTTTGGAGTTTTGAGGCACCAAAGAGAATATGGAGGAAATGGATCCACAAATTATGAAAGTCTAGATAATGTTTTAGTGAAGCATGAATCGAGGCTGGAAAGAGAGAAGACGAGACTTCATACAGAAGAAGATACTAGGATGAAATTGAAGAGAAAGGGCACAGATAGGGAATCAGAGAGCAATGTAAGCAGTTTGGATCAAGTTCTAGTTAAGCGCAAGTCCAGACTCGAAAGGGAGAAAATGACCATTGCTGAGGTGCAAGACGATCATATTAAACATCCAGTTTCTCGTCGAGAGGCTAGGGAGAGAGAGTTGCGGGAAGCATGGGGAGGCTTGAGCTTGGGAAACTCAATACGGCCCCATGTCTCTAGGCTTGAAAGAGACAAGGCAAGTACTCTACTCTTGTTTTGCTCGATTCTATATGTCATAATGCATTCATGCTTTTATTTAACCATAGCTGAATTTCCTCGTTTGCCAGCCTAGTGTCTCGAGACTTAAACAAGCAGGGCAAGTTCTCTCGTTTGGCTAGATTCTACGTGTCATAATGAATTATTGTTTATGTTTTTGCTTTGCCATTGTCAAACTTCACTTGAATTTCATTCCGGAAACTTGATACAGCCTCACGTCTCTACACTAAAACGGGACAAAAGAAATCATTTCGTTTTCTATGTGTCAAATACGTCGTTGTTCATGTTCTTGATTTACTTACGTTACCTTTTCTTTTTCCTGTGATGTTTATATTCTTACTTTTAGGCTGCGTGGATTAAAGCTGATGAAGAGGAAAGGAGGAGCGCATTAAAGGAACAAATGTAAGGGTTCAGAACCATTTTGTTATGTTTTCAAGATAAAATCAGTCACTGAGAGTTGTGACAGTTCTTTTAACAATTGTTTATTCACAACAGTCTTACATTGCTAAAGATTTTCGATTTTATTTCTCAATCACATTTTCAATGAAGCTCTCTGTATCATTCTATTCTTCTTTACTTTTATGGCTTAGTGTGGAAAAAATCCGTTTTAAGTCTATTTGCTTGCCCTATATATCACTTCATTGAACCGTTGACGGCTTAACCTTAAATTTGTAGAAGCAGGTTTACCTAAAATGTAAAAATTCATCGATTTTGAACATCCATTCTTTCCCTCTCTTACTCTCCTCCCATATATACCATATTCTTAACTCCATTCTCGCTCCATCTTTCACATACACGCACTCCAAATGTGCTTTTGGTTCTTTTCTATACTTAGCCCTATCCTCCATTTGTTCTCCTCCACTATGTCCATCAACTTCGAAGGTAAACACATGATTTTAAGTGACTTGTAAGTTCTTGATTTATTATTAAACTTGAAAGTTACTTGCTCTACAAGTACGAAAATACTTACTTTTGAGTTACTTTTAATATTAGCCAAACGTTTATTGAACCAGTACCATTTTGATCAATTTCTAAGGTTTAAGCTATGATTCAACATATTATCAAAGCAGAGGACATTTTGTATCTAACAACGAACCCAATAAAATGGTTAAAAAGGATTTATGTGGACAAATTCTAATTTTAGAAGTGTCAAGTTGAAGCCAGCCCTTGTTACTTCTTCACCTAATAATGGATCAGACAAAGTGGCAAAAAAGGATTCAGATAGATTCTAATTTTAAGAGTGTCAAATTGGCCGAACTGGGTTGGCCTTATTATGGTCTAGACTGGCACGGTACAAAATGGCAAGGCTCGATTTTTCATTTTTTTGTTATATTGTCCAATCTCATATGATTAAGAAATAAATTTGAATAGAGTGAAAATTTCATAGATGCTAATTCAAAAATTATTGCAATTTCGAAACAACAAAGTTAATGAACGTGAGTGGACAGTTAGGTATCCATGCTGTGCGGATTTAGATGCTAATCATCAGTAGTGCTGATGACAAGTACTTTATATGACGGTACATCATCATTGTTAATGACTATCAGTATTAGCCCTCGTTTAAAACCCATTTTTTTCTCATTCTCATTCTCATTTTTTTTTCTTTCTTCATTTCAATCACATATTTTATCAATAAAATAATACTACACAAAAATCCAAAAATTTCCATTACTTTTCAACCACACATTCTTCCATCAATCACTATTACAGAATTTATTTTTTCTCAAAAATGGGTGTCAAACAGGAGCTTAGTCATCCTCTAATAATAAGATTGCAATTTATGAGAACATATTATATTTATATTGAGCTGTGAAATCGAATGTGATAAATCATACATTGCATAAATATTAATCAATTTATCCGGAATTGAATTACGATTCTTAACCAACTCGATCTTTTTAGATGAAACCACAAATCTTAAAAAGTTCATAAAATGTGTGATTGGAAAGTTACGAGACTCATAAAATATGTGTTTGAAATTAATCATTGACTTTAAATTATGTTAAAATTTGAATTTTAATCCACACCAAACATGGGCTTAGTATGTGATGATTTAAATAAAGAATAATGATATATGTACTTTTCTTGTTAGTATTAAGAATGACATCCTCTTATGTGGTTGAAATCTAATCAGTGAGTTGATGGAATACATTTAAAATTTAAGGTCATTATTGCTGCCATCTCGTTGAATGTCAAACTTGACGTCAAAAAAATGTACATATAACGTGATTGTTAAATAAAACAAGTAAATGAGCCCCAAAAGTCGACAATTTGTTAAAGATTCGCCACCTAGAAGGAGACAAACAATTAACAAGCAAAACCAAAACAATAAACTATAGCATTGAGAAGTAGCAAAAACACCGACCATGTAGACGTAGCGTTCCTCTATTTGCATGGAAGTGATAGGTTGGGGAGTTTTGCGCTGTGATTTGACGGTTGGGGACCATTTGCGCACGGAGCCTACGGGTTAGGGACCTTTTTGCCTATTTTCCTTTTTAGCCTCAACTTTCTATTAATTATCTCAATTTCTCCTCACTAACAGATTCCGTAAAAAAACACCGGAAATTTAAGGAAAAGACAATTTTGCCCTTTTCTCAAATAAATAAATAAAACAAAACAAAGAAAGAGAGATTCGTCGTTCTCTAGTTTTCACAAATAGGCTTATCCTCCCGATCCCGATCCCCATCCCCATCCCAATTGACCCCATGCCACCACCAACTTCTAAATGTGAATTTTGTGGTAAAGTTCACGGTCTCTTCTTGTATTAGTGGAAGTTGTCAATAGTGCTAACTACTACAATTTTTTACAAATGAATCTTTATTCCTTCCTACACCTTTAATTTCAATTTCGTAGAGGCCATTCTTAATTAAAAAAATATCAATGTTACATTTTGTTAAATAGGTATGGTTCCATAGGAAGCCATTATTTTAGTTTGCAGCTTAGCCCTGTTTGGTGGCCTTTAATTGTAAAAAACTATACTTTGAATAGTATTTTAAATATTGTACTTTTTAGAGAATGTATGGTTAAAAAGTAGAAAAAAATTTTAAAGATCCACTCGAAATATTTCAAGCTTACATTGTTGTCTTCACTTTGTTTCAGGCTTCACAATAATCATCTCCGATGCATTTTATAAATTGACATTCAGCCCCTGCTTGTTTCCACTAAAAATTAAAATTCTGACCGTTGTTGTTTAAATGGAGCTGCAATATTTGACTGTTTTCTCTCACAGTGGGCCCCAATGCTTTGAAAAAAAAGGGTTAAAAAATGCATTTTTAGGTTAAAACAATGGCAAACAAATAGGCCTCAAGTGACAAATAAGTTGAAAGACTAGTCTCTCTTATTTGAAGTGCGATATTTGTTTCTTTTTTGAAGTACGCTAATAAAATGGATTTTTCTCTTTGTACAGGGGGGTGTACAATAGTGCAGTTCTCATAAAATATTTAGCTCCTATTTAAGTCACATTAAAATTTTCATTCTCATTTTTCTACTAATTTTCAATTACACGTTTTTCAATAAAATAATATTTTTCACCACATCAATAATTTTTCCTTCTTTTTCAATCACACATTCTCCATTAATCTACTATTTCAAAATATATTTTTCCAAAATAATGTGGCTCAAACACACCCTTAGGTAAAAATTGTCATCAAGGACAATTTGTATAAATAAAAGAAAATTGAGGATAAAAATATGATCAAAAATTAGATTGTGAATATAATTATTAAAAGAATTTTTTTGGCAACTGGGTCTCTAACTATATGCAAGTCCAAACTCCAAACATACTCCAAAAAAAAAAAAAAAAAATTAAAAAAATCCAGGTAAAAAAACTAGGGTTTTGATGCTGCTCATATAAATACGTTTCACAATTTGTGCGGAAACCTCCACTGTTCTCCGGAATTAGGCTTTTTCACTTGCAGACCCTAGCGGCCTTTGGTTGAGCAGACGAAGAAGATGGGACACTCCAACATCTGGAATTCTCACCCCAAGACCTACGGCCCTGGCTCCCGCACCTGGTATAACCATCTGAATTTATTAATCAATGTTAATTTTTGGATTTGTTGCTTGTTATTTCTTTTATTTGTTGATGTATGATTTTGTTAATCTTCTTCGCTATCTGGTTGTTGATGAAAAATACCCAAATTTTTGTACTCTGCCAGAGCGTGAGGAAGTTGTTTAGTAATTTGAACAATTGATGTATCTCCATGTACATTATTGATGTTCCGGAGCACTTATCTTTTGTTATAGTCAATTGATCCGTGATTATTAATTTGAAGTTCCAATACCCGCACAAGCATTACAAAAATTACTAGTCTTATAGTTGTTTATTTAAATCCAAACTCAAAGTCCTGGCGAAATTTTCTGGTAAATCATAAACGTGTATGTGATGTCTTTAAATGATTCGTTATTTGGACTTCTTATCTCATTAAATTCTTTGCAAACCCTCTTGTAGATTTTATATGGTTTTCTGCTTTGCTCTCTATCAGTTTTTACTCTGAAATCTGGATATACTCGGGTTTATTGTGTTCATTTTTGTACCTTTTAGTTTGTTGGGAAAAGTTCTATTTTGGTGTAGAAGCTTTAATTTCTCAATGGATTTATTAAGTTTCACAAAATGCTGGATCTGTCTCTGCCCCCATCATTTCAGAAGGGGGTACTGTTAAAAAATTGTGTTTGCATACTTGCTGTAACCTGAAATCATACATCATAGATGGCGTAATTTAAAGTTTTCCAAGTTCTCTTGTTCACTTACATTGTGCAACTTTCTTTTGAGAGAGAAGATTATATATTACCTTCTCTTCATGCTGTCCTCACTAAAGCATATACGCCTGTAATTTTTAAAAACCCACCATCCTAGCCTCGCTTTTATGTGTCAATCTAGTCATGAAAGAGATACTGTTGGATGTATCTCTAAAATTTATACCAATATTGCTACTTTAACTACGGTAGTTTGTATACGTATGAAGAAACTTGAAATAATGGGAAAGATCTTCGATATTCTCTTGAGTAACTAGTACTAACTAAAAAAGTTTTGAACCACTTGAATGTAGAAATAAGCCATCTTATATAAAATCAACAAGAAGTGCAGTCATACCTTGTTGAATAAGTTGTTCGTAATAATTGTTTTTTATTTTTTCTTCATGTTTTCTCATGGGAGTTCAGCATAACTGTTGACATTTTAAATATTTCGATTTGGCAGCCGTGTGTGTGGGAACCCCCATGGTATAATCAGAAAGTATGGGCTCATGTGCTGCAGACAATGCTTTCGCAGCAATGCCAAGGAAATAGGCTTCATCAAGGTAATCAGCTGTATTTCTTAAAAATATTTTGATTGCATGGGATTCTGTACAAAGCTTTGTATATGTAATCAGCTTTGGTCTTAAGCTTATACATCTATAGAGAGATGGA